GGGGAGGGGGGAGGGGGGAGGGGGAAGGGGAGGGGCGGGGGTGGGGCTCGCCGGAACTGCGAGTCCATTTTGCAACCGTGCCGGGCGCGTACCGTGCGGTCCGTGCTGTTGGAGGACAGGTGGCGCGGCGTCTCCCGCTTGCTGGAGGTCGGAGATAAGTACCAGTCGCCCGGCTACTCTCGGGAAAGCGGGGTGGTCCTCGAGCTTGCAGTGAGGGTGGGGACTTGCCCAGGCCAGCAGGGACCTGAGTGGGTGGGGGACTGGCGAAGGCCTTCTGAGCTCCAGTCCCGGCAGCACGTTGGAAACCAGCGGGGCACTGTCACGGGCGTGGGGAGGAGCGGTCTGCGGTGGGCGCCGGGGCAGTGTATGTGTGGTCCAGAAAACCTGCTCCGGCCCTGCTACCAGCGTCTCCACATCTAGAAAGGAAAAGATGGGTGTGGGCCCTGGGTTAGAGCGCGCTGCCTGCGTCTGGCGCTGAACTGGAAACGTTGCATGGCGCCGGGGGAGGGCGCCCTAACCGAGAAGCTGCTTAATACAAAGAGCTTCAGGCTCCTGGTGCTTCACCAGGTCTAAACAGCCTGGTTTTGTTTGTGGGGGCGATTGAAAAAAATGAGGGTCAAGATTTAGGATCCTGTGCACACAAATGCGTAATACTGTTCTTTTTCTCCTTTCTTTGCAGTAGCCTCTAGTTCGTTAGTCAAAACGTGAAAAAAAAACCTGGGAAATAGTAACCCTGCCAAATACATCAGCTTGTAGCAGACAGAGGTAAACTACAATAGTTTTCCTGTTATCCTCACTTAAAAAAAAAAACACCCAATTTCAATAGGCCCCACAACCTTCCAAAATGGAACTGTGTGTAGAATACGTATGTTCCCATCCACTTTCACTGTGGTCTTTGTTCTTTTCATATTTTGTTAAAACTTATTAAAATAGAATTCACTTTTAGCAATTATTTATGTGGTATTTATCTTCAGTATATCCAAACATTTATATTACAGAGGGGCTTACGCACTTTTTTCCTAGTTTTTTTTTTTTTTTTTTTTCCTCTTCTATGCTCAGTGAATTGTCAGGCTGCTAGGGCTTGTAGAACAGGGCTTGAGTTTTCTAGAGACCTTTATACAATAGGCATTTTAAAAGCAGAATTTCATTTATACAGGCACTCCTAGTAAAACTTGATGGAGCTGTTAACTGGTTATATTTCCTTCTTGCACAATGGGAGCTTCCCTACAAATACCTTTTTTTTTTTTTTTAAAAAAAAACCTTTCTACCAGCTGGCTTACTAAACCTCCCTGGGAAGTCCTTGCATAACACGGGGCTGTTCTGTTCATTCTATGCATTTACGATAGGTTATCTGGCCTTAATTCTGCCACAGCTTTTGTTCACATATTCTCATTTTCATGACACTGCTTTGTATCTGATATCCTATGTAATATTTGTTTTGCCTTGCTTTGAAATTACAGTTCAAGTTTAGAACCTTTTCTTGCTTGATACACTGATGCTACAAAATAACACCTTAAATGTGTAGAGTTTGCACATATGTAATTAAACCTTATGTTTGTATAGTTTAGTAGTTTATGGAATTCTAACACATTACTGTTTCTAACAACACGATTAATACAGGAGTTATTAAATTATTTTTAGGTAGCTAGAAAGCGTAAAAGTTATCAGTGAAATTTTCCTTTAATAAAAAGTAGCCCCACCGGGCGCAGTGGCTCACGCCTGTAATCCCAGCACTTTGGGAGGCCCAGGCGGGCTTATCATGAGGTCAGGAGTTCGAAACCTGCCTGACCAACATGGTGAAACGCTGTCTCTATTAAATATAGAAAAATTAGCCGGGTGTCGTGGTGCGCACCGGCAAACCTAGCTACTTAGGAGGCTGAGGTAGGAGAATCGCTTGAACCTGGGAGGCGGAGGTTGCAGTGAGCCGAGATTGCACCACTGCATTCCAGCCTGGGTGAGAGAGCAAGACTCCGTCTCAAAAAAACCCTCTGCTGGGCACAGTGGCTTACCCCGGTAATCCTAGCACTTTTGGAGGCTGAGGCAGGTGGATCACTTGAGGTCAGGAGTTCCAAGACTAGCCTGGACAGTATGGTAAAATCCCATCTCTACTAAAAATATGAAAATTAGCCAGGCCCGTGCCTGTAATCCCAGCTACTCGGGAGGCTGAGGAAGAAGAATCGTTTGAACCCAGGAGGCAGAGGTTGCAGTGAGCCGGCATTGCGCCACTGCACTGCAGCCTGGGCAAGAGTGAGACTTCATCTGGAAAAAAAAAAACTTGGCCCCTAAACCATTTCTTTTCTAACAGAAAGCAGCCTGAAAAGTCAAGCAGCAAGCAGAAATATGCAAGCTAGAAGCTTTTATATGTAAATGTCGCCAGTTGTATTTGGAAGCCAGGTACCTTCAGTATGGTCTCCCGCTCCCATGTGGGGGTGTCATGGCGACCACCAGCTAAAACCATGGGTGCAGGTATCATGGCAGTCCCAGGTAGAAGCCACATTTGCATAATGAAATAAATTTTTTTTTTTTTTTTTTTTTTGAGACGGAGTTTCATGTTACCCAGGCTGGAGTGCAATGGCGCGATCTCGGCTCACCGCAACCTCCGCCTCCTGGGTTCAGGCAATTCTCCTGCCTCAGCCTCCTGGGTAGCTGGGATTACAGGCACGCACCACCATGCCCAGCTAATTTTTTGTATTTTTAGTAGAGACGAGGTTTCACCATGTTGACCAGGATGGTCTCGATCTCTTGACCTCGTGATCCACCCGCCTCAGCCTCCCAAAGTGCTGGGATTACAGGCTTGAGCCACCGCGCCCGGCCATGAAATAAATTTTTTTCTTTCTTTTTGAGCTGGAGTTTCGCTCTTGTTGTCTAGGCTGGAGTGCAATGGTGTGATGTCAGCTCACCGCAACCTGCACCTCCCAGGTTCAAGCAATTCTCCTGCCTCGGCCTCCTGAGTAGCAGGGATTACATGCTAATTTTGTATTTTTTGTAGAGATGGGGTTTCTCCATGTTGGTTTGGCTGGTCGGACCTCAGGTGATCTGCCTGCCTTGGCCTCCTAAAGTGCTAGGCTTACAGGGCCAGTTTTTCCATGGGCTATGTAAATGGCACACCTGGTCAAACCAGTCTCCTGGGCCCTGTGTAAATCTGTCACCCCCTCCCCACCACCTTTTCAATTTTCTGTACAAAATCGATTGCATTCCACCTCAAACCCAGAGACCTCTCTTGGGTGACCCGCTTTCTCAGCATGAGGAAGCTTGCTTTATTAAACTTTCCCCTCCTAAGCTCCTAAACCCACTCCTTGTGTGTGTCCCTGTCCTGAATTCTTTCTTGGCGCGAGACAATCACAGGGGTATCCCAGAGACAACGGAGCCCTTCATTACGACGTAAATACTATAAAAATAATTTGAAAATCTTTTTCCAATAGATGGGATTCTCAGCTGTGTTGCCCAGGCTGGTCTTGAACTGGGCTCAAGTGATCCTCAGCCTTCAGAGTAGCTGAGCAGGTTCTGTGTTTTTCACTGGAGAGCCTCTTAAACCTAGTTTGTAAAAATTGAAGAATTTCAGAAGGGATTTTAGAGAGCTCATGAATATACATCTACATTTTATGAATAAGAATATTCATGAAATTTGTTCAGGAGTCACTTTATAGGTAGTTCTAAGGTCTAAGAATTAGAAAACTCAGGCTCTGTGATGCCTAGTTTGCTGTGTAGAGTTGATATATCTCCATTTTTTGAGTGCTGGAGGTGTCTTAGTTTTTTGACTCCTAAAGGTGGGTATTTATCTAGATGATTTCTAAGATGCTTGCCCAGTATTTCTTTTATTTCTACCCCATAACTTTTATTACCATCTATTGCCAATATATATATAGGTAAGACACAGATGCAGACTAATGTTAACTGCCTTAAACTGTTTTATATTTTAAACTCGGGTAGGTACGGTAACAAGTGTGTCTTATTCTTGTTTTTTTACTACGTCTTATAAAAGTATGGTTTTGTTATAAGGTTAGGAACTGCATAGAGAGGTGGAGCACTCTCATACATCATTGATTAGAGTACATAAAGTGATATATACCCTTAAAGTGATATATACCCTTTCTAGAGAGAAACCTAGTCATCTTCTCAAGAAAAGTGTCCTTACTTTTTGACTCAGAAGTACATTTAAAAGAATTGTCTATGGAAATAATCAGAGCTGTGGAGCAAGACTTTTCTCTACAAGGTGTTAATCTAAATGTTACAATACCTCCCCCCCCCAAAAAAACCCCACACACAACAAAAACAACATCAAACCATAAATAAGCAATAAGAAAGCATATCATCAACATGGACTGTTATATTTTTCTAGAATATATAATGATAGGGGAAAGACATGTAATAAATGGACAAGGTAGATACACAATTGTATTATGCTACCAGTTTTGTTAAAATGTGTGCTCACGCCTGTAATCCCAGCACTTTGGGAGGCTGAGGTGGGCAGATCACCTGAGGTCAGGAGTTATAGAGGAGCCTGACTAACATGGTGAAACCCCATCGCTACTAAAAATACAAAAATTAGCCAGGCATGAGGGCACACATCTGTAATCCCACCTACTCAGGAGGCTGAGGAGGGAGAATGAACCTGGGAGGCAGAAGTTTCTGTCAGCTGAGATCGTGCCATTGCATTCTAGCCTGGGCAATAGAGTGAGATTTGTCTCAAAGAAAAAAATGTGTGCACGTGGACAGACACATGGGATTGGAATAAAGATACCAAAATAATACTGGTGATTTCCTGCCGATGTGATTATGGATGGCTTTTTCTCTGTATTTTCTGTAATAGAAACAATTACTTTTATAATTTAAGAAGATACAAAAGCTAGTTGCATGGATAACTTCCATTTTAGTATGGTGTATTTTATGGTTTTCTTTTAATTGTGGTAAGAACATTTAACATGCGATCTATCACAAATTTCTTAAGTGTATAGTACAATAGTGTCATCTATAGATATGAGCGGATCTCCAGAACTTATTTTTATGCAACTTTCATAAGGTATCTATCATACCTTTTAGAATAACAGCACTTGGCTGGGTGTGGTGGCTCAGGCCTGTAATCTCAGCACTTTGGGTCATTTTGAGGTCAGGATTTCAAGACCAGTCTGGCCAACATAGTGAATACCCATCTCTACTAAAGATAAAAAACATTAGCCAGGTGTGGTGGTGCATGCCTGTAATCCCAGCTACTCATTAGGCTGAGGCAGGAGAATTGCTTGAACCCAAGAGATGGAGGTTGCAATGAGCCAGGATTGCGCCACCGCACTTCCAGCCTGGGTGACAGAGTGAGTCTCTGTCTAAAAAACAAAGAGTAATAGCATCTTTGTAAATGTTATACATTTCCGAATTTAGGTCAGCAATTATCTTTTGGCTTTTATCTTTTTAAATATCTTTAGATCATTGGATTATCCATTTTAGTTCTTAATGAAAGACACTGCTATTGTCAGTATGTTGGTCCTGGGACTCTAGATACTAGAATGATAAGAAAAGAATAGAATGCTGACTGGGCACAGTGGCTTATGCCTATAGTCCCAGCAATTTGGGAAGCCAGGGTGGTAGGATCACTGAGGCTAGGAGTTTGTGACCAGCCTGGGGAACATAACAAGAGTGTCTCCACAAAAGTAAAAAAATTAGCTGGGCATGGTGGCATGCAGTTGTAGTCCAGCTACTTAGGAGGATAAGGAAGATCACTTGAGCCCAGGAGTTAAGGCTGTAGAGAGCTATGATTGTACCACTGTACTCCA